AAACGAAATTTAACATTGTACCATTTCGGTCAAGTGTCAAAACTGGTACAGCCGATACGGTACGGGATTGACTTCTTTGTTATTAATACTAATTAATAATTTATATATTTTTAAAATAATAAAAAAAATTTATAATTACATCACAACACAGTAAAATACTATGGTTTTGACAAAACCCTTAGATTCACCCTCCAAATAAGGTGATAAGGATAAATCTATCCCTAAACAAAATGCAAGAACAAATGATATTCCGAATCATTGGGTGATACAAATCACATATTATTTAACTGTTTATGTCATGCCACATCAATAAATCATTAACAATGGGCTAAGGTGGACTTTTTAAACACGTTGGAGCCATTTTTATGACTTCGATGCTGACATGGCCCCATTCATACCCATTTTAGTCTTATGTGGCAATTTCTCTCTTTTTTTTCCTTCTCCACATCAATTGGGTCCAATGAAATCTCCAAAATATTTATTTTCACTCAATTAGCCCAATGAAATATAAAAATAGATAAGAAATTGAATTACAAAATTGCCCTTACGCTTCTTCTTCCCCGAACCCTAACCCTTTTCTTTCCTCATCTTTTTCCCTCATTCTTTCTTCTCATCGTTTGATGGATTCCTAATCCCAGCAAGACTATAGTGAGACTAGGGTTCAAGCTCACCACTGGCACATTGGAGTGTGAGCTCACCATTGGTAAGATTTGGGTTTCTTGCTTCAATGGATAACCCAAATATGGGTTTTTGTTGTTGATTGGGTTTTTGTTGTTGATTTGAATGCCCAGACATCTCTAGCTTCTTGTCTGCCAACATTGAGCCTTGTAATAGAAGATCAACTCTTTGTTTCATCTTCTTTCTTGTGGGGGTACTAGGATTGGTAAGTTTTTGTTTGGATTTGTTTGGGAGGAGAAATCGAATAATTTTGAGAGGTGGAAGAAACTGGTGGTAAAGAATTATGAACAAGAACAAAAAAACAAATGAGAATATTGAGTGGAATTAATGGGGGTTTCGCCATGATCAATTGCTTAAATAGGGATTTTATGGATGTGGATTGGTATTTTCCTTCTCATGGGTTCTTAATCCTATTGTTGTCTCCAAAATCTCCCTTTCCAACCGTGTGGCAAATAAGACTGTGAAGGCATGCCACTCATGTTGCTCAAAGTGAGAAAGAGGGATTCCTAATGACCCTCACTACTTCCAAGCGTGGAACTCAGCTACAAGTCGATGGAAAAGCAGCAATAAATAACTTATGAGATACACCCTGGTTAGACGATTGTTAGTGGAACTCAGCTACAAGTCGATGGAAAAGCACCAATAAATAACTTATGAGATACACCCTAATTAGACGATTGTCACAGAAACGAGGGTGCATGCCTACATAAAGGTCCATAAATAATTGCCCTAGGAGAACATCAGGGACTTTCTACAACTAGGGCCAAAATGTTAGTTTGCTGATCAAAATAAAAGAGAAAAGAGAGAGTGCATGGCAGGAAAACTAAATTGCAGAGAGGAAGCATGATGCCGTCGCGAAAGCATTAAAGTGTAGAAAACAAAATAAAAGATGAAGCATAAAACTAAACTTAAAAGAAGTTAGGAAGATGAATTTAGGGCAAAGTCCAGTAAATTGAATTGCAGGAAACTAAGTACATCAGGTAGAGATGTTCACAACAAAATAACAAAAACTAAAGCTAAAACTAATGGTAGCATAAAGCTAAAGACTAAGCTAGGAAAACTGTTTGAGAAAGTTAGACCTAAACTAAGACATTGCTTGTGAAACTGAAATGTAGATAGCGTTGGGCTAATTGTGTGAGAGGCAGGTCTTGTTGTGCTTCATTTTATCTCTACATACTTATAATAGTGAACAGCCCTTGGCAGCATGCTTGGGGATCTGCAATAACATCTTGAAATTTAACGGCAACGTGAAGTATGAAACAAATCAATTAATCTATTAATGTTGCCGATTATCCTCTTGGAACTTTGTAACAAACGAATAGCTTTGTTGTCGTTGTGAAAATAACCACTGAACCTTAGTTGGAGAGATTTACATTAACAACTTTCAACCAGTGAAATTCTTGCCAACATCGATAACACATGACACCATTCTATTTTTTCACAAAAATAGGTGTAAACACCTATAAATTTCATTGTCTTATCTTTCTTTCTTTTTTTTATGATGAATTTCTCATAATCATCATTAAGTTTTGAATCTTTTTGATGAATCTGAGAACAGGACCAGTTCAAATCTATACTTGGTTTGAATATAGAATTGATCCTTTTATGTTTCTTGTTTGACTTGGCTTGATTTGGAGTTGATTTGGATTCATGAAGGATTGTGCACTTGAATGGCATCAGAGAAATAGATGATCATTGCCAGAGAAGAAGACTGGAGTACGGAATTTTTTATGAGTTTAATTCCCTTTAATTAAGCCTTTAAACTTGTAATTATCTCTTTAATTAAACTAGTAGTTTTGGAGATTTCATTAGGCCCTGATGCGGAGAAGGAAACAAAAGAGAGAAATTGCCACATAAGACTTGAATGTGTAGGAATGGGGCCATGTCAGCATCCAAGTCATAAAAATGGTTTGAACGTGTTTAAATTGTCCACCTCAGCCTTACTAACGTGGCATGACATAAGCAATTAAATAATGGGCTATTTGTATGAATTGATAATTTGAATATGTTATTTGTCCCTCTATTTTTCACCTTATTCGTAAGGTGAACCTGATGGTTTCGCCCTATGGTTTCTTACTCTCCGATTGAATAAAGGTATAAGAGATTCAAATTTTTTTAAGAAGACCATATGTTAAAAGTGCAGTCTATTTTATAATTTTACTTAAATATTTTCAATAAACCAATATAAAAAGTAATTTATTTAAATATTTAAATAAATTTATAAGATAAATTATATTTTTAATGTACAATTCATTCTAAAAAACACATTTTTGAAAGTATAAAATCCGATTTTTTTTCAGAACAATGGATCGGATCAGGCTCAAACTATGACATTCTTGAATTTTGTATTTGGGCCTTGAAGTGAAGTCCAATAAACAGCAGAAAACCTACCTCACCTCTGACTTCCTCTTTCCCGTTTCAAAACGCCCTTCCCGGCTGGAATCAAGGTCTCAGCCACCGTTCTCCGCCCGGCTAGGTCGGTTCTGACTGTCGTGCTGTGAAGGGGTGTTCAAGGTTAATCAACGTTTGAGACACATACTCGTTCTGCAGTCCGTGACTCTTGTCCTGCCGCATCTGGTATCTCCGGAAGAATGGTCGGTCCGATCACCAAAGCTGGTAACTACGCCACGGATTTCGGTTGTTTTTTTTTTTTTTTTTTTTTCTGTGTACGATTTGGTCAATAAGTAAAGGAGCATAATTATTTGCAGGAAAGTCCAAGAAAGATAAGAAAAAGAAGAAGAGGGTATCCGCCCCATTGAATGAAGTTCAAAATTTAGTACAAAAAACCCTAGCCTCCGATCAAGATGAAGAAGTATATCAAATCTCTTCAGGGGATGATGACTGCTCAAAAGGAATGAAAAGTATGCAATTTTTTTTTTTTTTAATTCACTGCAGCTTCTAATTTTCATTTGGGTTTTAATTCGAGTGCACGAATCTCCAATAGTAATTGCATAACTTTCTGAACTGCAGAATGGATTACTGAGTATCATCAGAGTAGGCCGGGCTTGACTGTGTTGCAACAAAGAATTGATGACTTTATCACTGCCCATGAGGAACAACTTGAACAGGTATAATTCCTTAGCCTGCATATAATAGAACCATAACTGGGTGTTATCTATGTTTCCCTTTTCTTTTGTTCTGTGTTCTTAACATATGGTCATGTAGATTGACAAGCATGTGTGTAATGTATATCTTTATAAGCAAGTACGGATGTTATTCTTTCCATGTTTAGGCATTTAGATTGTTAGTTGTTGTGCCTTTATCCCTTCCAATACCAAACTTGCAGCCGGCCCTTTACTGTTGTTCATGTTATATTATAATGGTAATGCAGGAAAGAAGAGAGAAAGAAGCCCGTCTTGCAGAAGGGGGATGGACAGTGGTTGTGCATCATAAAGGAAGGAAAAAGACTACTGATACTGAGAGTGGGATCACTGTGGGCTCTGTTGCTCAGGCTGCAGTTGAAGATAAGATGACCAAGAAGAAGCACAAAGAACTTGGTGATTTCTACCGTTTTCAGAAAAGAGAAGCCAAGAGAAATGGTATGACAAACCTCTCATTGAATTAGTACCATTTGCTTTCTGGATAAACTATTTGCTTTCTGGATAATGGACATCAAGATTTAGTACGTTCTGAACCTCAACTTGAAAACAAATACTGGATGTAGAATTAGAGTCTAGAGGTCTTTGGTTGGCTGTCATTAGGTATTATATACAAGAATTTAGCCAAATTTATGCCCACTCAATGCAAGTGTTATTTATGCCTACCCTCTTCTCTAACACTGCATGGTTAGTAAATAAAATAGGATCCTCTTAGCTTGTTAGTTCAACGAAATGTTAATGTTTGTAAGTATTACCCTGCTGAAATTATGTTTATCCCTCTGCATAATCGATCCCATCCAGACATGGTTGATTGCATTGTCCAAAGAAGTTGAACTTATGCATATATGTCTGAAGTTGCTGTTTCTTTTCTTTCCAATGAATTTTCATCCTGCTGTGGCTGGCAGTGTTTACATTTTATGCATGTCCATCTTCAAATCAAAGGCTTTGTTTTTTTTCTTTTTTTTTTTTAATGAGAATTATGCAATTTCATTGCTAAAAGATCTGCGATGTGCACTGTGCGCACTAATGCCACAATTATTTCCCTGCAGAACTCTTGATGCTCCAGAGCAAATTTGAACAGGATAGAAAGCGTATTCAGCAATTGAGGGCTGCTAGGAAGTTCCGGCCTTATTGAGGACTACTGATATACAACTTGGAAGTGGGCTGACTGCTTGTCATTTGTAACTCACATTTCTGTCTTGTAAAATTTGTTTGAAAATAGGATTCTTTAGGAAAATAATTTTTTGATAATTCACGAGCAAATTCTGCTACTTTTCTTCCTCTTCTTTTGGCCTTCACCCCTTAACCTTTTCTGCTAGTTAGATTCCAACTTAATAGGCTCACAGCACTCTAGATTCTAAACACATGCCTATATTAATATTATGTTGGCTTGGAGTTTAATTTTATAGTAGGGGGAATGAAAAAGAAGATGAAGTTGCTTAACATCATATCATTTAACCATCGGTATCTTTTTTTAATAAGACATGCCAATCGATATAACCTCGGGAGAGAGGGGTGAGAGGGAGAAAAGATGGTTCGAGCCTGTATATAGTATATACAGCTGGGGAAGAGTCTTTTTGCCAATACCTTATTTTTTTTTTTTTAATAAATTCGTAAGGGTCAAATTCAAACCGTTATCCGTCATTTAATTCGAAAGCTCAAATGCGCTAATACCTTATCTAATTATTCTACAAGCGCCCTCATCACTAATTTTTTTTAATGTTAGGATTCTCGTACCTCGTACGGACTAGTTAGCTATTCGTCTAGTACAATCATTTCTCACGCATGTAAACTTTAATCCCCTACCCTACTACGTAGGGAGCAAGAAGAAAAAGATGAAAGAACTCATCTTTCTGTCTCAATAAGGTCAAGTATGGCAGCCATAAATGCCTTTATGCCCCACTGAGCTTTGCCGTTCCAATAGCCGAATGCAAATGCTACTTTTTCTCTTATTCCATATCAAGACAAAGTTATGCAGTGTAAAAAAGAGCACTGAGACAAATAATAAACAGGCCAAATCAAACAAGAGAATATTATTCCATGTCAACATAATAACAGACGTGTGCACCAAACACACCATGCAGTCACATCTGCACTCACAAGTCACAACATAACCCCACAACATTTATTCATGCAAAACAACAAAAACAGAAGCCAAACCACAGTTTTTAATAACACCCTCACAACATAACCCTGCAACATTTATTCAAAATTTAAAAAGAAAAATAGAAACTCCCATAAATTTCAACTAAACCTTCTTGTCCTTCTTGTCCTCACTTCGGCAGCAGCTAAGAGCTCCAATTTTCTCGAGTCCAGAGCAATTCCCCAACAATGTTGAGGTTTATAGCTAGAGAGCACTGAGTAGGTGTGGAACATGCCCGTGCCCATGCCCATGCCCTAGAATTTTCTTCCCTTTCTCATCCTCACTCCAGCAGCATTTCAGGATGCACTTGGGAGATACAGAGACTTCAGTGGCCCTAACAAAGGGGTAGAAGCTGATAAAACCACTATTCCTGAGCATTGCAAAGCTTCTTTCTTCACAAAAGTATCCATTCAAGTCAATTGGCATCCTGTACTCAAGTTCATTCCAGACATTGTCAGTGTGTAGTGCTATAGAGAACTCAGTAGGCTTGAAGCAAGCCAAAACCCTCTCAACCAGCTGGGCCAAATTCAGAGTTTTTAAATCATAACCTGTTGCCTCAAAACTAGCATAACTGAAACCATCTTCTGGTGTTACATGGATGGTTGAAATTGCACCCCTTTCAACTGAATTCATGGAGTAACCACAAGGGTCAAACTCAAAAGCACATGTCTCAGACTCTGGAAGAATATTCCTAATACCAGAATCTTCAGTCATCACATCTGCCGAACTTGCATGTGTTTTGTAGAAGACAGATGCCCTCTTTCTGTCCAGACCAGTCATACACATTTCAAGAGTGTAAACAGGATCAGATTTGCTCCTGTTTTCTGCAGAAGCTGAGTATATATGCCATTTCTTTTTATTATCAGGACACCCCATTACACATGCTGTGCTGCCAGAACCAAGCTTGCCAAAGAAGCCATCAAGGATTGCTACTTCCTCAGAGAAACTGCGATGTGGAAATGGCTGAGCCCCCGGAAATATGAAGCTCCCACGAGTGTACCTCACAGATTGTACAGACAGGGAAAGGTTACCAGCCAACTTAAGGATGACTGGGATTGAAAAAAGCAATTTCGTAGTCCCACAAGTCTTGATGATAATCTTATAAGGGTACACAAAGAGGCTTGATTCTGAAAGGACATATGAATCGACATAATCATTAGACAGTGAAGAAACAATTGTGCATTGAGCAGGTTCCAGAATCTCATCCAATTGTGCTTTGGATAGAGAACGGAGACCTATCCTGTTGGAATAGGAATAAGCAAAGACACCAGGCTTGGAAAATGAAATCTCAAGCCTCTTTTCATAACCTTCAAATCCAATAGCAGAAGTAGACAAAGCCATATTGCCTTAAGAAACAAATAACGTTGCAAGTAGAGAGAACAAGAGAACAAGGTAAGAAGGAAGAAACAAAGTAGATGAAGTTGCAGTGTGTGAGAGCTTGTAGGGTTATGTGAAAACTTTAGGAATCTCAGGATGGCTTTCGGATGCACTGCACAGATAAAGAGTGACATGCTGTTAATTAAAGAGTTCAACTATAAAATAACATGTAAACATTCTTCTAACATAGAACTCACGTTAGAGTAGGCAGCAGTTCTGAATTTCTTGATTCCACCATGTGGTCGAACATCTTCAATGCTGTAACCAAGAGGAGCTTCGTAGAACAAGGATTTACTACTACTAGACTTCTTCTTCCCCCCTTTAGACTCCATTAGATCATTCAGCCGTCCCTGTCAAGAACAATCAAAAGAGAAATCAGAACCAACATGACTTTGCAAATGGCAAATCAACTGATCTTATCCCATAGAAGCAAAAACAAACCAAGATATCCACACAAACACAAGAAAACCAGGGTTAACATCACATAATGTTCCCAATCAAATGAAAAATCATGGGAGAGACAGACATAGATATCCATATCCACAAGCCTTGACACCCCTTTGATATAAATAGTGAATGTTTTACAATGAAGCAAACGGTACTAGGATTACACAGAAAGACACATACATCACACAAATAACTTTTTAACTCCTTATATAGTTTATACGATTCCTCTCGGTGAAACTTTGAAGTAATAGCAAAGTAAACCATAAAACTTAAAACTATTCCTTTTATTTGAGGGTCAAGATAAAGGCTTTGTTTAAAGAATCTCCACCAAAAGACCAACATCGATTGAACATTATGCTAGAACGGTATCTAAAACAATGTGATCGAACCCAAAAACAAAGACAAAATATAAGGAAAATTTTGAGAGAATTTGGTAAGAAATCCAGAGAGTATACCACAAAAAATCATGCTATAAGGAAAGAAAGAAAGAAATTCAAAGCCATGTTCTTTCCTTATAACACAAAGGACAAGTCTAGTTCTATAGCATAGAATAACTCATACAAGCTTGAAACCTAACATAAACAACAAAAACATAAGTTACAGAACAATAATCAAAGAAAACAACACTTACAGCGTGAAAATCAAATTGGAAAAAACAATTATCTCCTCAGAAGAAAACCCTTTTGCTGGCCTCCCACAAACACCTGAAACTCAAAACCACAACAAAATCAAACAAAGAACATGAAAAACTGACATCAAAATCAATCCCGGAAAAGGCACAACCCAGAAATCGTAACCTTCAACTTACCGATTCAAAAACACAGAAAAGAAAAAAAGAAAAGGAAACCCCAGAGCAAATCCAAGATCAAAAGACAAGAGAACGAGAGAGAAATCGAAATTAGAATTGCAAGTTTCCTTTCCTTTGACTTTTTTTAGGATTTTCTTCTTCTTCCTCTCTGCTTCCTTTGGGTTGCGAAATAGGTAGTTATATATTCGCGGCTTTGGGATGGCGAAGGAGAAAGGGAGGTTTACAAATACAAAATACCACGACTTCTTCAGATAATTACGTATGTACTCTCGTTTAATAATGATTCACACGCACCAACGGCTGCCGAAATGTATCAGATAAGTTGATTCCTATTAAAGTTGAAGTTTTTACTGAAATAATGGTAATATTTCTCTTTTTCTTTTAAAATTCTCCCTGTTCAAACAAAATAAAGATTCATGTATTCCGTGGAAGATTTTTGTTTTTTTAGTAACAAAGGGATAATACTTTAATATTATTTTTTTATGTTAATTACATAATCAAAGATAATTTTTTTTTTATTTTTTATTTGATCATATCTGTATATCTTATAATTTAAATTTAAATTTTCTTATTTTTAACGAAAGAAAATTATGACTGAATTACTTAAGTCGTTGGTAAGTTTTATATATTATTAAGTAATTAAATATATTTAATATTATGAATTAAATTAATAAAAAAATATTAATTATTTAAATAATATATAAAATTATATAAAAAAAAAACTTATATAAAAAAATTATTCTTAAATTTTTTTTTTTAACCACCACGGAATTTACTGCAGTTGCCTTATCATATTGCCCTGCCTTCAAGTCTTTTTTTTTTTTTACTAGTTTCGGGTCTTTTCTCTAATTGTTTTAGGCAAAAATAATTATTTTATTTTATTTTATTTTATTTTTCTCATTTAAGATAACAATTGAAATTTTTTTTTATACATTGGAGATTACTTAGTATTATAAATATTTGAACTTTTAATATTGATTCTAATTAAATTAAAATTTTTAGATTAATAAATATTAGTCCACCTAAATTATTGTTAGTACAATAGAAATTACTCTTATTTACTAAGATTATTTCCATTTTCCCCTAATTGCAGAAATTTAAATTTAATAAAATAGAGAAATGTGAGCAAGCTGATTAGGTAGTAGGTACCATACAGACGTGCCGTCGTCCTCCCCCTCCATGGCATTAGGGTCTACCTCTCTGAAAATGAAATATTAAGTATATATATGATTAGAGTCTGCTACATTATAATTTGAATGTGAAGAGTAAACTAGTAATCATTAAATGAAAGAAAAACTCTTAATATTAAAGGATTTTATGTGAGTGTTAATATTTTATAGTTTAGACTATAAAATATTTTTTTGTATGATATATATATGAACAGTAATTGATACATATTTAGTTTAATAAACTGCATGATATATTTATTAAAAAATTATTATTTTTTAATTAAAAATTAAAAATAAATAAATTTAAAGATATAATCAATTGTAAGAATTAGATGATTCAACGGTATTTATATTATACTTTTAATGATTAAACTAGAAAATATATTAGAAAATATGTTGAATAAAATATATACCAATTATTTATATATATATCTTTTATTTTTAATAATAAATTATACAATAAACAATAACACTCTTGTTTTTTCTAAAATAAAAAAAAAATACTTCTAACCTATCTTAAAGTTTTGGATATAAAATCTCAAAGATGAGTTTATCATATTTTATTAAAACTTAGACAAAAAAAAAAAGGACTGCTAATCAGGAAAATAGTTTTAGATAGAAAGAAGAAAAACCCTTTCGTCATCCGTTTTCTTTTATTTTCCCAATTTCATTTCCATTTTACTCGGTATCTTTTCCCCTCCAATCAAGCCTTGTTAACCATAGTTTGGAGCACTCATTGTCTTTGAAATTTGAATGCGCTTTCGAAACGATATAGAAGATGTGGCGTATCAAACATGCCAACAAGCCTAATTTACGAACAATTTCTTATTTATCCAAAAAGTTTTATCATATAACATTGATAAAATATCAATAAAAATTT